TTAATACATGCAGAAAAACTCTTAGCTTGAGTAGAGCATGAATTACTAAGTTTGGTCCCATTGATTTTACAGTCATGCAACTTTCCTTTTACACTGTTGCCATTAAAAAGTTAGGTTAAATACCAAGATTATTTTCAGATCACCATTTTCAAGAGATTGTCACAATCACTACATTAACTTGCACATAAACTGATTTTGATTTGCCTATACCACACTTAAAAGCTATTAAAGTTAAAAACAAACAGAGAAACTTAAAAGATAGGGGGGGAAAGGAAGAAAAAACATCTGCCCTCATATAGAGTAACTGTCTATGCCTTTTCACCAGTCAGCACAAGGATTAAGCTTAATGCATACAAGAGACAACCACAAATAACACCAGCAACATGGAGTCTTGAATGAAACATTAGTCATGTGCCATGGTTGTCCTGCCCTTAAAATAATGACAGCTTTGGCACAGGCATTCAGTAACATCGATGTCATATGACTCGTGTCTTAACCTTAGACATGTTACTGGTCTTTCCAGATTTGCACAGAAGGAAATCAGAAAGTGTACACAAATAGTCAGTTCATAAGTACTAAAAATTTACATGGAGCTCAGAGTAAGAAGTATGTCGTTTTGAATCAGTTCTCCAAACCAGATTCTTAAGAAGCAGGTGATCTGCCAGCCTCAGCTATTTCTACCCAACACATTAACTGCCTCTCTGTGCTTTGAAAAACAGTTGTAAAAATTATGAGGGGAGCGTTAGGAAGAAAAAACCCCAAAAATTACAAACCCAAGGACAAGGCTGAGGTAATTAAGTCAAAGGATATCTGACTTCAGAATCTACTGTTTCAAGGGCCCTAACAACAATATAGTCAGATACGGAATGTAATTTCTGCTCTGTAAAACACAAATGACCCTGTGTAATAGTAAAGTAATGGACTGAGAGGTTCACCTCAGTTACAAGGACACACTGAAGCTGAAAGGTATGCAGCATGTACATGTAGACATATTCCTACACACATGAAAGCAGGGGAAGAGAACGACTAAGAATGTAGCAAGAGATAAACAACACAGTTTGGGATTTAAGCAATTAAGATTGAAGAACACTGATAGCACTCTACTGGTTGCAAATAGTGGCTACGGCTCCACTTCAAGAAAACCACCACTGGATAAGAAACAGAATAACTGAAGTGTGCACAAGCAAAATTAAGAACTCTCTATGCAGCAAGAAAGTTGAAAAACTGTGGAAACAATCAACAGCAGGGTTATAGAGATCATACTGAGCCAGACACTTTTGACAGTTTAAAGTTACTTCTTTTGCCTAGCTAGAAAACACTTGTACTTATTTCATAACCATGGCCATCTCTGAAGCATTACACAATACCTCACAGTAAATACATTTAGTGTGTGTAGCCACAAATCTGAAGCCAATTAAAGAAAACAAATAATTTAATCAATTGCAGCCTAAGGACCCCCAAAAGCAAACACAATACCTACCTTTCTTCAGTGCATTCTTGTTTTTCAGTTCCATCGATTTCTATTTCTATCAGCTCCTCTGCTTCTCTCTTAGTCATGGCTAAAATATCTTAAGAACAGACCTGTGAACAGAAAAGGATTGGTAAGTCATAGACCAACAAAACTAGATGATAAATTGTGTCCTATCAAACATTTTTTAAACTAAACACTAAAAATAAATATGCAGTGTCAATGAGAATGCTCTCATTGACACTGCAGATTTTCATGCCCTGTAAAATACTGGAGTCGGTTGGAACATAAGGGGGAAAGAAAGAATTAAAACATTTGGTCTGTAAAGACATAGTTTGTATATTATTATGTTTCACTAACCATCCCATACATCATAAGCATGAAATATGTATGATAAAGAACTCATCCGAATTATATTAAAAGTTCAAAATAAATAACACCACCAACTCACAGGAAAAGGAGTAGGACGCAGGAGAACAGAGTAAAAAAAAAAAAAAAAATCATAGCAGAAAAAGCAAAAGATGTTACTATTTAAATACCCACAAAAGATTAGCAAGATTTCCATCCTGGAATCATTCCTTTCTAGGGTCTACTCTATGCCAAACCCAGCTGTTCATAAAAGAGTTTATTAAACACAAGTTAGTAAGGGAACCTGAAAACTTCTCAAAAGGAACAGTGACCAACTACGTTATACATAAACGGTTTAAAGAAATCCAAACCACTCATTATCTCCTTCAAAAACCATTATGTAAAATCAGTTTCAAATAAATCAAGTGCTGCCATGTGACATCAAGCTATAGGAAGCTACCACGGCTTGACAGAAGGTAAACAGCACTTCATTAATAACTTACCACTAGAAGCAGAACCCGAATTTGTTCTGCTCACAGATCTGACTCTGAAAATCCCCTAGCTGCTGGGTAGGGCCCACTGAACTGACATGGTGGTGTACACTGAAGAGGGCCCTGGGAGTTCAATTCCCAGATCACTTAAATCATCTTCATGATAAATGAGGAAGAATGAAACACCACTTCTAAAGAATGCAGGCAAGCTTAATTAAACAACTGGCACTTGCATGGCTACAAGTGATCTGGTTGACTGTTAAAAGATTTGAGCAAAGTCAATGAAAATTCCCAAAGAATCTAACTGGTATCATAGAAAAGGGAAATAATTCATTCCTGTATTAGCAATCAACTTAAAACCCCAAAACAACAAGAGTTATTATTTTTCTTGTGATGGAGTTTACCAGTGAGGTCACAAAAGGTTTTAAGCTAGGATTTCTGTTCCTTCACGTATTCACAAGTTATTTGAGAAAACTGTGCAGACCTGCCGAAAGATCATCTGCAAGTCTCATCTTTTTGAATCTTTGAATGATTTCTGGCAGAAAATTTTCAGTATTGGTAAATGCAAAACAATGCACAGTGAGTAAATATTATAACAGCATAGTAACTGTATTGAATCAGGTAAGATATTATGAAGTCCCTATGGACTGGACTTCAAATTGGCAGCTAGACTAATAACTTCACTCACTCTTCAAAGGCAGCTTGTGGCTGCATCCCACAGGCTCTACTACATCTCTGGTTACCATGCAGAGGTAGAATTGAGCACAGGCACAGACAGCAGGTATACAGAGGGAGAAAGATGGTTCCACTGAGCACAGATGTGAGAAAGGAAGATGATGAGGGGATTCAGCTTAACCATTGTGAAAACATGTAAAGTCATTAATAGTTCTGAGAAACCTAATGGGGAAAATTACTCAGTCTTTCTCATGCTAGAACAGACAGACTCCTAATGATATAAATCATTTCACACAAAGTCTGTAGAAATTTGTTGCTGATTGGAAGAGTACATAGGTTCAAATGGGACTAAGCTTCCTAAGCCTTCCCTGAAGGCTACTAAGAGACAAGCAAATTGAAACAGCTCAGCTTGCTAGGAAACTCAATATGGTAGCAATACCATACCAAATACAGCAGCGTTTGTTTGGAGGAACATAGAAAACTGTGTTTGATTTGTGGAAGGTTCAGCCTACTGATCTCTGTTTGGCTCCATTTTTCCCTCAACCTAAAAAGCCCCAAGACTTACCTGCTATCCAAGACAGTATCTGACCATAACGCCTGACACAGGCCTCCATTAACATAAAAGAAGGCACCTGTCAACAGAACTTTTTTTTTTTTTTTTTTAAATCCCTGCATGACAGCCCACTGCTACTCCAGCATCTTTTACTGTTTGGCTTTTGCAGTCAGGGGAGAAGTCCCAGTGTTCTGTTAAAAGCTATCTTTTCCCTAGAAGACAAGGAATTAAGCAAGTAACACACCCATGATAACAAGGGCACAAACTCTGCTAGCACAATTACTGTCTGCTATCCTACCAAATACCTGTGAAGTGGGGGATAACTACTGGAGCCCACCTGCATTATCATCTTACACTGAAGCCAAATCACTGGGGATATTTGTGGCTCTGAGAAACTCTGGTGTTCACGGATGATTTGGTACTATCAATCCCTATTATTAACAGAACTGTAACACCAACACGAAATAGGTAACGCAGCAAACTATCTTTTACAGATCGATCAGATTTTGCAAGTTATCAGCTGATTTGGATTTCAGACAGTGGCTCACTAAGCGGGGTGGAGGCATACCAAGTTTTAAGTGCTCTGCTTCCTCACCCTCGTCAGGAGTTAAAAAATAAACTCGATCTAGGAAAAGCGGTTGTGCAGCCCGTACCTGCCCGAACACCAGGAAACGAATTATTCAAGCCGCCAAACACTCTTTTAGGTTTTCACCCAAAGTAAGTTTTACAAACAGAGGCAAGTTTCACGCCCCGGAGAGGCCCGCGGGCCTCGGCCCGGGCTGCCCGACTTGGGACCAGAGCGGGAGAGTGGCACCCTCCTCCCGCGGGCCGGCACCGCCGCGACCCCTGAGGAGGGGTCCCTCTCCGAGCCCTGCCGCCGTCGCCTCCATTTCCCTCTCGCGCGACCCGACCGGCGGCTCCGAGGCCCCTCGGGACAGGGCACCTCAGAGCCGCCACCACGGCCCTCTCGCGGGCTGGAGGGAAGCAGGCGGCGCCACATCCATGCCACTGCATTCCAGCCTCCGCGGAAGGCCGCTCCTCCCCGCAGACCCCTGTTCTCCCACCACCCCCCCCGCCCGCTTCCCCCCTCCCCCTCCTCTCGCAGCGTCTCGTCGTTGTTTGAACCCGAAACGGAAATGAGACTCGCGGCGCCGGGGAGAAACGGAAACAAAACACGGGCCGTGCCGCCAGGCCGCGCCGCAGCTCACTCACCCACTGCCGCTGTCCGGTCGCCGAACGGAGCGGCCGCACCACAGCTCCCGCCGGCCGCGGCTCTCGCAGCTCCCGTGGGTCCCGCCGCCGCCGCCCTGAGGAGGCCGTCGCGCGCTCGGGATTGGGCAGCGCGGCCCAACGCGGGCCCGGGCGGGGAGGGCGCGCGCCGACACCGCCACCCCCCGCGCGGGAGAGGGAACTACAGCTCCCGTCGGCCCCCTCGCGCCGCCAATCCGCGTGTGGGCGCGGGGCTGCTGGTGGCTGTTACTCCGAACCGCTTCTCCTCACCCGGAAGCGCATCGCCGGCTTCCGACGGTAACGGTGCGAATGGGGGGTTTCCGTGCTCACTCTCCCCGCACCTCGACTGGCCGCGGGGCGGGACCGTCCGGTGGGGTGCGCGCCGCCCCCTTCTGTCCGGGTACCCCGTCTGCAAGAGCGCTGGGGTCGGTGGTGTGGCGGCGGGCTGGGCCGGCTTCCCGGTGTGCATTGCGCGGAGAGGCGGGGCGGTGGTAGCTGTGGCGGCTCCTGTCCCAAGGTGACTCGAGCTGGGTCGGTGTGGTGCCGCCGAGCGCCGAACCCTTCGCCCCGCGGAGCTGGTGGGTGCTTGGGGGGTGGCTCTTCGTCCGCCGCCGTTGCCTTGTGCTTCGGGCATTCGGGCCCTGGGTGTAACGGCGATTCCCGGGTCGGGTGGTTCAGAGATCCCCATGCGGGGAGCCGTTGGGCCGCGTCCGCGGCTGGGTTGGGCTGGGTTGAAGTTACTACTTTTCCTTTAAGTGAGGCAAAAACTGACATGCTGTGTTTGTCTCGGTGCGGGCAAAGCGATCGTGATCGTGCTCCGCGGGTTCAGCGGCTGCTCGAGTTTCCTTCCCAGATTGCTGCCTGCTTTAAGTGTTCGTTATGGTTTAAAGCTCATCTCTGAACTAAATATGTTGATTTTTTTGCACATTGTGGAAAGAGCTAATTCTGTGTCCCTGTTCAGGGTTTCTGGTTTTTAGCTGAAATACTGGTGTCATCATGATTTTGAACCAGATTTTGCGACTTTCATCCATTTTTCGCTCCGCTGTCTCCACTCACTTGCGCAGAAACATAGGGCTTTCTGCTGTCGTCTTTAATAAGGCAAAAGAGCTCGATCCAGTTCAGAAGCTCTTCTTGGACAAGATCAGAGAATACAACACAAAGAGCAAGTAAGTAAAGGAAATTATTTTGAGGCTGATGGCAAAAGGGGGAATAGCGTTTCTGACAAATGCTGAAATGTGCTAGGTTTGTGGGTTAGTCTGTAAATGCTCAAGGTGTTCTTTCCTGAAACACTTGATGGTAGTGTCACAAATAAGAAGGCTTGTTCTTGCTTACCTAACAGACAATGTCCATTCTTTACCCCATTAGGGATAAAAAAAAAGGTAAACCTGATGTCTGTCTGCCTGGGTAGTTAGGGCATTCAGTACATGCTACATGAACGTACCAGTATGTTAATTTTTACCCATATATGTGTTCTGTAAATAGGAAAAAAATAACACCACCACCCTGCCTTTTTTTTTTTTTTTTTGGTCGGGGTAAAGCAGCTGTTTTTCAGTCCTGTTTGCAGAAGTGGAATGCAAATAGTCTCCAAAAGCAATTGAGAATTAATGGAACTGTGAGGCTGATTCATTAAACAGCTCAAGTTAATAAGCAGTTAATTCAAATGGAATCTTAGATTCTTGTAATGCTTGAATGAACTACTTAATAGGAAATTAAAGCTCTAGCAATTCCATGTAATTTATTTTTGGGAAAGAAATTAGTCATTTCTTCATTCTGGGAATTCTGTGTGATATATTTTTGGGAAGGAAAGCAGCCATTTCTTAGGTGTATTGTTTCTTAGGTCTATTAGTTTCCACACCTACAAACTAGCCTGCTTATGAAGGTGTATTTTTGGTGGCTTTACCAATCACAAGTGTGATGGCTTAGCTGAGCACTGGTAATCTAAAGTTACTATTTTAATTGTTTTACCTTTGTATCCGAAGAAATTCCTGCCTGATTCTACATGAATGCAAGGTGTCCTGCCTTGTCTCGTGAGTCTTCGCTTGTTTAGTACTCAACACGTTCTCTTTGCAAGAACAGTTAAGCTTTACTAGCCAAGATCACTAATTCAGAAATAGCAGAGGTACAGATCACAATTTTATTAGGAAGACCCACCTGGAACAACTGAAACTAAGAATTCTGAAAGCCTGGATACTCCATGTAGCTTTATGTCTCAAAAGGCTACCTCAGTCACTTGGATTTTCATCACTGATAATAGAAAGCCTGTACTTTACTCCAAGAACCCTGTTCATGTGGAAGACCAAAGGTGTCTCATATCTTGACTTTTGGAAATACTTTAAATGGCTTGCTTTAGTTGTTGTCAGAAAGGTTCTGAATTCATAAATGGCCATGAAAATGTAGAGCTTCCACATGAAACTTCAGGACTGAAGTGTTAATCAGAACTTTCAATGGTTGGTTTGTTTTTTGGTTTTTGTTTCTTTTGTAGGCAAGCTGGAGGGCCTGTTGATGCAGGCCCTGAATTTCAGAAGGAAATAAATGAATCGCTTGCTAGACTTCAACGGGCATATGGTGGGGGAGATCTAACCAAGTTTCCAGAATTTAAATTTGAGGGTGAGTTAACAATCTAACGTTATTTCTAATTGCAAGTAAGGGTATGTTCACTGACTGGTTTTCTTAAGTAATTCCCATTTAGTTTTTATTTGGTCTGTTAAGTTTCATGTAAGATGCCCTTGGTCAATCTCCTTACTTTTGTAGACTTCACATCTGATTCCATCTGGCTCCTTTTTTTGATTACTTGTCTTTTCCAGTAGAGGTAGTGGAGTGGAGTGGTACTTAGAGGTAGTGGTGTGGACTTACTTATCCTGATGCTTAACAAAACTTAGATCTAGCTATCTTAAATTACCCTTCAAAGACCCTGTAGAAATATCCCATGTCCTATTGTTTTGGGGCTTTTTGGTGTGGCTTTTTGTTTGTTTGTTTCTTCTTCTCATCCTTCCAAAGATGTCATCAAACTAATTTCTGAACTAGTTTTCCATGTCATCCAAAGTGCAATCTGTAGAGTTTGTAAGCTCGTCCATAAAGGCAGTGATTTCAGAAAATGAACCCAGAACTTAACTTTGCTACTTATGACTACTCTGTGACTAAATTACATTAAACCTTTTTCTTCGGTTATTTGGGTATGGTTTCTGCTTAACTGCCGTAAGTTTGTCTTAGCATGTTTCCATATTACCCCAATTGATTATGACAAGAAGAATGCTTGTGACAATTGTTTATCAAGAATATAGAGAAACTGCACAGACTCTGTCTGCCTCAGAACATAAAGGCAACTACATTCCTGTAGTTCTTTTTCCTTTACTTGCTTATGTAGGTACAGCTCAGAGTCTTCATTGTTCACAAACGGTTTGAGCTTACCCCACAAAACCTGGCTTTAGCTGTCTTTCTAGTAAGCTGTAAGTAGGTGGGATTCCACAATGTTCTGAATATGCCAGTGTATTTGGTTTATGTGGCAAGGTTTTGGTAGCGGGGGCCTAAGGGTGACCTCTGTCAGGAGGTGTGTCTCCACACATCAGACATAGCCAGTTTCATTTGGCTTCAAAATGGACCCACTGCAATTTGCAGCTGAGGTAGTCAGTGATGCTAGTGCCACCTCTGTGACAACAGAGTATTTAAGGTGCCTTTATTTGTAACCCTCCTGGAGAACGTGGTAGGGGAAAGAGCAAGAGAGCACAAGGATGGGTATATACCTTGCAGCTAGCCAAGGTCAAGCTACCATAGGCAGACTAACTGGAAACTGATACAGACTAGGAGCACATCTAAAAACATTTTGTGTTTCTGTGGTATTTCAGTTAGATTAAAAAAGGATTTAGTGTCAGATTGTTACTGGTGCAAATAAAACAGAGCATCTGTAAAGCAGGATCTATGGCATTTATTTTCCTAAGTTTTAGGGATGCAGTTTCTTTATATTCAGCTTTATTTCTATGTACTATTTGAAACAATACATTATTATTTCTTTGTAAGTAAACAAAATCTTTGTGACCGTAGGAACAGCACAAAGGAGGGGGGAGATTGTGCTTTTACCACTGTTGCCTATGCTTAACTGAATTCCAACAAGTTTTCAAAATTAAGTGCCTAATGGGTAGAAACATAATTTTTTGTCTTAGTGAAGATTAAGATGAGCCTTACCTCTCAGACTCTTTGTAGCAAGGAGAATAGTCCACCTGTCAAAAGCCCTAACCCTTCTGAGTTTGTACCTTTCACATCAAAAACTCCTTCATCAGTGTTTGTATGTGGAGAGTATCTTTTGCTGAGTGGAACTGGAATTGTGTGCTCCATTCTGTTAATCAGCTGTAAGACACTAATCAAGGAAAAAGAGCAGCTTGGTTACTTGTTCTTACACCAGAGCGATACTGGAAATACTAGTGTCAAGTGCAATAGGTTCTGGTTGATGACTTCATTTTCTCTGTGCCTTCTCCCCTTCCCCAGATGATGCTAAAGCTGTTTAGGCAGAAATGTTAGTAAGGTGCATGTCTGTCTTAAACTTTATGCATAACTCCTTTAAGATGGAAAAGACCTGTTGCCAGCAGTTTATTCTTTAGTGCTGCCCACATCCAGTAATATACCCTGATAAAAATTAAGTGGTGGTGTACAAGACTGCAGTGTATAAGAGCTTGCTTTAGCTTGCCGTCTTAATGTTTAGCTTTCTTTAAATAACAAATGACTTGTGCTATTCAAGGCTGTACTGAAAAGAGGCTAATATGACTTCTCTCTCCCTTTCCTCCTCTAGAGCCCACCTTTGAGGATACTCCAAAGTGATCTCTGCAGGTTGCATGCCAAACAGCAACATACATCAGTGGAGTTGCTGAACATGGCACCAGCTGTAACTTAATAAATGCAGTGTTGCAGTTCGATTTCAGAAGCGTGAATGATTTAACTGTACTGTAAGTGCAGTTAGCTGTGATCTTCAGGTGACTGAGGCAGCTGAGTAGTATTTCTTAGTATTAACTGCAAAACTATGTTGTAGTGTTGAGAAGTTCTAACATTGTTAATGACACATCAAGAAGGAGCTACTTGTTTTTTTGAGTTGATCAGATACAGAAAGCTTCTGCAGAAAAAAATCCTATGAACCCTAAATGAATGGACCTGCAGAGCCAAAACCGTAGGCACAAGGTCTACTAATTTTACAGGTGAAGTGTTATTCTTACAGAAGCAGCTGACACCTGTTAATGAGGTTGTGAGATTTAAATTTTAATAATTTAACTATTGACACAAACACTTCAGGCTCAGAGCAACTATTTATTTGTGATGCTTCAACAACAAGGATCCAGATACTACAGCCTGAGTTATACTGGCATGATTTTTCTTCAGAATGAAATTACATATGCAGTCTACAGCGAAAGTGAGAGACTGCTTTGTGGAAGAGAAGCTGTAGGCATTTTGTATTAGACAATGAACCACTGTTTCAGACTAAATTACAGGATGCTTTATTCTGTCAGGATAGTGAGTTTAAAGTCTGAACAACTATTTACAGTCTTATAGGTGACTTTGGCAAACCTAATACAATGTCAAGGTACTAAGTTATCAGAATTGCAGGAAAGTTTGAGCCCTTGACAATGATGGAGACATAGGTAGGAGAAGCAGTGGTAGCAAGATCACCAGTGAAAGTTCCTTGAGTAGACTGTTGCAAGCTGTAAGAGGGAATCCAATATTGCTGCATGTATACATGAACAAAATGAGACTCGTAGAATGGTTTGGCAGGGAAGAGACCTTATTGATCACCTATTCCTAACCCCCTTCCACTAGACCAGGTTGCTCAAGAAGTCTTAACATATGTTGACTTGTATATTAAATTTAATTCTATCTTTAAATTAAGGGGGTTTGGTGGTCTTGGGAGTGGGAGGCTTGTGCAGTTTGGGGTTTCTTTTCGCTCCTGAAAAGCAATCACAGTTACGTTGACTGGATCTGAACATTGGCAATTTCGATTTTCAGCATGTAGTGCATGGAAACTATTTACAGAGTAGAGGTCAAAAGATCCCTTTGATACTTTTGTATAACAAGTAGTCATTTGATGTCCCTCACAGAGGCAGAAATCTTCTAAATAACAAAGGACTTGGTATGCTTGAAATCCTAAATGAAGCAAAAAAGTTAACATAAGTAATAGTTCAAGGATTTTAACCAGATTAACATTGAGTGTACATTTCAGATGAAACTATGGCATCAAGTTTCATATATATTAGGTGAAGGAATAAGCTTATGCTGTTTTGTATGTTCTGTTTTGATTAAAGAAATGGGTGTTGTTCAGTGAGCTTTTAAGGCTATTAATGTAACCTTAAATTACAGATAATAAGTTGCTCCAGTTGAAGTTTTTTATTTGGAGCTCCATTCTTGCATCAATCTGAAAAGCTGGAGCAATTAATGTGCAGTTTCTCTCAATGAGAAAGGGGTGTGTGTGGGGGGAAGTAGTAAGTTTAGCTTCCATATTCAGTCAAGCCTTAAAGCAACTAAAGCCAAACCTTCCCTTCACCGCTGATTTGGACTCCAAGTTAATTTCCTTGGTTGACTGAATGGACAAAAGCAAGGCAGAGTGGACGTTTTCACAAGAAACGGCATCAGTAACTGGGCAGCTTAGAGGTGATACTGCCAAATAATGTAAGGGTGTTTGTTACTCTTTAGTTTATCTGATAGCAGGAAAAAGGAAAATAATCCAGAACATTTGAAAGAAAAAGAGTAAAAGAAGCAAATAGAACAGAGAGAGAAAAAAATTGGAAGCTATAAATGGAAATAGACGGTATCTTCATGTACTGGTAGTGTGTACAGTTTGTCAAGGGCAGGATCAGATGTGCAAACCCATCAGAAATGATTAAATTTTGAAGATGTCTAAAGTTCAGACACCAAACACAAAATACTTGCCTTTTCACTTGTAGATTGATAGTTGGTCTTCTTCCTGTTAATAGAGCAGGAAAGGAACACAGGTTAAATAGTGACTTTTCTGGTGTTAGTTTTAACCCTTTGAGAATCTTATTTATGAATAACGAGAATCTTATTTGTGAACAAATCCATCAAATGCTTTTCGGTAGCTGCCACTGACTGTCAAGTTACCTTCCCTAGCTTGTCTTTTAAGGTCTTCCAGAAATGATTTTGGCTAGTTCATGGCCAGTATAAATAACAGAGTATTTTGAAGTAATGGGTTCAGACTTAATCAGGGGGGAAGTTCAGATTAGTCTGAAGAGGATACACACAACTGTAGCTGAGTTAGGGGTTTAAACTGTAACTGTAAAAAGCCACATCTCTTCACACTGATCACAGTAATAATGCTTTATTTGTTTTATGACCAACACACTGGTTCTCATAAGGGAACCAGCTGGTGTGTAGGAGCAGAGGTTTATTTCAGTGTTCAAAAAGGCCACTGTACAAGAGTTGTGTGAGAAAGGCCTTGAACAATCGTCCTGGATTACTAAATCAGAAATGTATGTGAAGTTTGCAGTGATTTGTGTACTACCTTGCATCATGATACTTACTGGGAAGAGCTTTCCTCTGAAAAAGAAAAAAAGAAAAACAGTTAGCACAAGAGCAGTTTCCCTGGCTGATTTACAGTCCTTTGAAATAGTTATTCTGAGCTTATTCAGCTCTTCAGTTTCTAGGAGATCGTGAACCAATTGTCTCTTCTGGTGTGAGTTTAAACAGAAAAAGATTAGATTGCTTTCAAAGGTAAATAAACCTCCAGGTGAACATGAACTCTAACAGCAGCTCCGTTAGCTTGTTACTTTCAGGCAGCGGACCTTCTCAGACCCCGACACTGGGCATCCCTTCTGCACGAAGGGTAAACCCTAAGGAGGGTAACTTGGTGCCGAGCTTTTAGCAGTCAGCTTTAAAAGCAAATTTTCCACGTGCACTTTCATCACAACCCAGAAGAGGGAGCCAGTTAACTTAGTTTCCCCTTCGTCGGAACTCGGCCACTCACATCTTCTAGTGTGAAAGTGAACTTTGTGCGGCTTCCCCTCTCAAATCTAGAGCAGAGAGGCTCCAGGACCTAGGGTTCGGCTCCTTGTTCTCCCTAGATTGCCGTATGGTACCTTATGCGACTGCACAAACGCCTCCGTGTCGTTCTTTAAGTATCTTTTACAGCAGAAGTTGGCAGAAGAAAAAATGTCAGCACCAAAAGAGTTACTGTCATAATGCTTTTTAGTACCATGGAGTTAGAGCCTTCATGGATAGGAGAATGCATTACTGTCCACAGGAGTGCAGATGCTTTTTTTTCCTTTTTCTTTTTTCCTTTTTGACATAAGAGTGATTTTATTTTACTTACTTGTAAAGTAGCCTTTTTTCTGGGCATAAAATACTCCAAGGCCACATGATGCCATTACCAGAGCCACAAATACTACTGCGGTGATGATACCACTTACATTGAGGTCATCTGTAATTACAAGACAGAAGTCCAATGTTGTAAGTTGTAAAAGTTTCCACTGGCTTTATTTGTTTCCCCCCTAATTACTACAGGCAGCATTTGTAGCGACTGGAGGTCTTTGGCCCAAGCTGCGTAAGTCAGCTGGTAACACTTGAATGTAGATAAGCAGTCCAAAAGCACTACAGTATCATAGCCACATTGACAGGAGTGCTAGACATACTTCAAGCACTTAGTTCTGGTCAAAATTAGGAAACAACTATGAGACTTCAAGGGATACATACTCCTTATTAAACCTATCCCAAATAAGCATTCAAGTAGTATGTCTCTAGGAGAAAATAACTCACAATCTTTAAAAGTCTTAAAACAAGCATTTTCCTATCTTTAACTTGCCTGAAATAACTGAAACAGCTGATGGCAAGTCCCAGTCCTGAAGAACTCTTCAGGCCAGTTATTTAGAATTCAGTGCTTTTTTTATTTTTAGACAGCAAGGCCTTTAAAATTCAGTATGATAAAGATCAACAAATACTTTAGCCCAGATGTAACTGTCCTATGATCCTATGTCCAAAGTTGAACTCGATAGTGGGCTACCAGAACACCTAGCCATTTTTATTTTGAAGGGGATGACTCGTGCCCGTTTCCTGATATAATCTCCAAGAGGTTCAGACAATCATTTGTTTTAGGAGAAAGAAGCACAAACTGGCAGAAATATTTTCACAGGTTTTTGTTATATGTCCAATTACCAATTCAGATTGTGACTTTAAGCATACATTAATGGTTGGGAATTTTATCCCCGAAGTTATCAATATTTGTTCATTGGTTGACAGCAATTTAGGACTTTTATTTCCACAGCAGAGGGATTTTATCTAGGTAGCTTGTGGGACACTTGACCAGGATAATTGACCAGGAATGCATTAAAAGCCATGATACAGTGACTTTCAGCTAAGTTCTAAGAAAGCACCGGATGATTGCTTTATGGAATACTTGGACATGAAATTCTGTGCAGTATTTGTTAGGATTTGTTACTATCTGCTTTCCTATCCCATCTGCAAGACTAGTTTTATATTTTGCCAAAACACTCTCACGTTTTGGGTTATTATAGACTACCAACTTTGCCTCTCCTGCCCTTGCTAAATTCTTCATTACCTAACCAATGTCTTACTTCACCTGCTACGCTGTGCACATAGAAAAGAAATAGGCAACATGGGTTTTTTTTGTGTTTTTTTTTTATTTGTTTGTTTGTTTTTTAAGCTACACTGACTTCTTCAGTGTTCCTCTGGCAGGTATAAATGAGTTCATTCAGTTAAATGTCTGATCTGTTACAGTAAGATACTTTAAGATGTCACATGAATGCATTTGAAAAGGGAGGCTTTTCATAAAGAAAATAACTCAGTGAACTGGCACAGCATCCTCTACTCCTTCCACAAAAGCAATCTGAATTATTAAGACTTTCACATGGGTACTGCTGTTCTGAAGTTCAGTGTTCAGCAACCTAAAGGCTGGTTATTGCAATAATTTTAAGGTACTTAGTTAGCAGCTTTTCTGTGAAATGCAGTGAGATGTGCTTGTGCTGTATGAAAGGAATGCTTTAAGTAGCTACAGTATCTACATAGAGGGAAGTCATATTATTATTCTTCCCCCAGATGCCATAATCAAACAAAAATATATAATTCTTAGCCTCTCAGTTGTACCACACAATAGAATAATTCCTATTGCAATACTGGTTTCCTCCCTTATTTTGTTTGACACATACCAACTTGCATTCGCTTCACTGAGCATTTCTGAGATAATCCAATCCCATTGGAGGCTTCACAAAAATACTCTCCAGTGTCATTCTTTGTAACTGTGTTAAACAGCTGTTAAGAAAGAGTCCAAAACCATTATCAGAATGGAGAAGAGAAAAAATAAAAATCAGACTTTCCTGTGGGATAGAAATTTTGACATGTCAACAGGGGTTTGTTTAACAAAGTATCATAATTCAGCTCCCTCATCACACTGCCTATCCTTCAGCTTCTGGCCTAAGTGAGACCTCTTGATGGACATTTTAACTAGGTGGGGTGGATCTATGAGGAGATTCTTTTTCAGTGTATCGGTAGTTTCCAATAAAGTGTATTTTCTTAGACACTCTAATTTCAGAACCCCTGAAATCAGACTATTTTGTTCATTTTCACAAACAAATGCTAATCACGTACTACAAAAATGTGACCCATGAACTTCCTGTGGGAAATGCATCTGTCCCTGTCCGTGGGTGTTGTCCCTTCCTCCCGGCCCCGAATGGCACCTTCTCTCTTCTTCCAATGGAGAAATGCTTAACTGCACTATTTATCAAATACTTTTCACTGGCAAGTACTCTAACCATGCCACTCAAGTCTTGGAAGGCAAATGCAAGGACTGCAAGAATGAAGACCTTAGGTCCACTGTCGGGGAAGATCAGGTTCACCCTTAGTGCTGCACTCCCACTGAAGTGCATGAAGTTGCTATTCCAGATTTTAAGGTGCCACTACCAATAGAACTCTGTTGACATACTGAGAGATCATTCTCACCTGGCACTAGGTAGCTAACTGGCAAGGTGAAATTTGTCATAAATTTTCTATATTCTGCTCATTTTTCATTACGGCAGTCTTGTAACTCACCCAATTTGTATGTATCACTCTTTGTCTATGGCTTGTCATTAGTCCAAGGCAGAAACCACCTTCTACATTTGTTAGCACATATTTCAGCATGACATTGATCTCCAACAAAGACCTTGTGCATTTCTGGGTTAAGACTCCTGTGTGTCATTGTATTAAACAGTAAATTTGGTCTTCTTGATAGCTGGTTATGACAGAGTTGGTTATTACACTTACCAGAGTGCCAGACTTCTTATTCATGGTATAAGTTATGTTTGCTGCTCTAGCATTGCCTGTTCCTGTCTTTTCCAGTAAGGCAACACCGTTCTTGTACCACTGGTACTCAGATGGAGGAGACCCCTCTGTTTCCTTACAGCTCAGTTGCACTACTGTTCCTGTCATTGCAGAGCTGGGTACCTCACACACTGGAGTAGTTGGAGCAACTGGACAATGAAATTGCACTTGTTACACAGTTTTATCAGTACTGTCTGTAAGACAACAGTTTGACAGTCCCTGGTGAGGAGGTGAGCACTTGCATGCATACTTAGAAACTAACACATTAATGAAGTAAGGTGATGGAGACGGGGTTGAAGGCAGAGTCCTGCCACTGGAGAGCACAGCAAAATTTGGGAGTTGCTAAAAAAAGATGCCTACTCCCAGCCTCCACCACCATCTGCTGTGTCATCCTGTCTCCAACCTATACACCCTCATGCAACCCCAGAAAGTTTGTTGTACCTTACTTCTTGTATGGGGTCTCTTGCTCGCACAGAGGAGGGATAATTCAGGCAATCCATAGTCAAGCATTCCCCCCTTCCCTGCCCCAGTACTTAAAAACAGAAGTGAGGAAGGTGTCTTTTTTTATTAAAAGAAGTTCTGAAAAATGTCTGTCAGAAAGAATTACCAAGATTGGCCACCACCATAGCCATTGCGTAAATACCAAGGAACAAAACTAACTGGACACTAAATTTCAGTATAAATTAAACACTCCCACATACAGATGCAGGAGAAGTGATCATTCCATCTGCCACGGAGATAAACATCTCTTTTCCAATTTTTAGTACAAGAATAGAAAAGGAACTTAGGGTTTGTTTTGGTAACAGGAATCTATGTAGAAGAAAGCTAAAACTGAAGGGGCATGCATGGAACATTAAAACCACAGGTGACACCTTAACAAGTATTCATATTTTTTCCTTGACTGATTTTAAAATCGGAAGTGAAAATAAAACCAAGTGAAATACTAACTAATCCACATTAACTTTCAAAAAAGGTTTGTGAGCAACACACACACACACTTCTTTGGACTCTAAGATTTCAACTTTAAATTAAGAAGCCACGTTTTATAAAGGGAAAACTGTTGAGATGATGGAAGAAAGGAGGAATAAGTGGGGGTTTTAGTAGCTCGTTGTTGGAACTGATCAGAAGTTCAAGAATTTCTCATCCTTTATGTAGGACTTTAAGACTTTACTTTTAACTTTAAAAGATCTATTATTTTTTATAGAAAAAAAATCCAAAACTATACAACAATACCATATAGAAACTACAAAAGCAAATATTTCCTTTTCTCCTTATACAGAGAAAAGAAGAAATCCACCAATCTCTACCACTCATTTATGGGGAAAAATACCAGGAACAATATAAGAAGAATGTGTTCTCTTCCCTGCATTCCCCAATGGGGAAAGAAAACAAAGAGAAAACCCGTAAAGAACAACCACCCCCCCAAGCCAGCACCATCTCTTCTGTAAATGCTCGCTGGCTGGCACTGCACAGACACTGCAGCAGTTTCTCCTTCCAAAAACAGGAGGAGACTGTAGCATATTGAAACGAACTGCTGCTGAGGAATATTTGATAAGTGTTGACAGATGCTGACTTTCCAGTGCCAAACACCATGATCATTTTATCCAGATTCTCAGCCACTGCGTGACTTCAATTTTAGTAGAAATGGAAGCTTCAGCAATACATAGATCAGCATACTTGCTAAGTTTCGAGAAGTGAAACCCACACTTACAGCAACAAAACCCTAGTTATATTTCTTTCCAATGCAAGTGTGCATTTGGCAAAGCTCTTTTGCGAGTACCTTGTAGGATGTGCATATGTACATGTGTTTATAAACCCAGCCCAAAGACCACCCAAAAACCCAGCAGCCACACACCACACAGACAACCCTACCATCAACACTCCTTGCTATCATTCAATTCAGTTACAGAAGCCCGGGTAAAAAAGTTTGTACCCAATACTGTGAGAGTAATAGTAGCCTCTCCCAGGCGTTGCCCCTCTTCGCTCTTTGCACTGATTTCACAGCGGTAGGTCCCAGAATCCCTTCTAGTCACATTTCTAATACGGATTCCTGTATTCAGCATCTCTGCTCGGCCTCGAAGATCACCTTTAAGGGAGAACAGAGAGAAGTTTCTCTTCTTTGCTTATGGCAAATGTCTGTGTCTCATTGGTTTGTTCTGAAATCACATGCAATTTATAAACTCCTTTATTCAGGGTTAGCGATCTATCACCAAGGAGCAACATGTAATCCCCTTCCCAAGACAGTAAGAACCGTCCACAACTTGTCCATTTGGTCTAAAAAACAACCTCAAAAGAAACAAAAAACCTCCTACATCTGTCATATTTTCTAGTTGAAAGGTGGAATGTTTCTTTTCTGCAGATATTTCAAGAAAACATGTATAGCAGCAGTCAGGTGACAAAAAAAGACATTATCTCCCATGAGAGGGACAGCAATCAGTAACTTCACTACTTTTCAGAAAGAACTGTGAGATGACAGCAAAGTATTTGACATATTAACTTGGCAAGAAAAACAGAACGCATTTAGCAAAGATATTGCCAGACTACCTACAATGGTTTTTTTTTCATTCTATAGGCTGTTATGAAAGTAAAAGTACATGCACACACAGAACCATGAGTTCCAGTGTTTCTTTAAACTAAATATATGCAGAAAAAAAAACAAACCCCAAGTTCATCAACAGGACCAGTACATCTTGCAAGCTCTACAAACCAACAAAATCACTGTGCTTTTATTTTACTTCTCAACCTTCATTTGGTTGGTTAGAAGGTACCAGAGACTCATATGAAGCTGAGGTAAGTCCTTTTTAGAACATATAAGCAGAAATTCCACTTCTGAAAAGAATACAAATTATTTAAAATATACAGCTGAGTTTATATTTTATGTATATAAAAATTGCTGCATTATTCATACCTAAGCCTCCAGTTCTACAGGAGGCTTCAGAAACCTCTTTGTAGCATAGAAGTGCAGAGCTTGCAGTAGTTTTGGGGTGTTTAGATCCAAATGTAATTTCATTTTTGAAAAATGACAAGGAATGTCATTTTCCTTACATTTGAGTCTTACTATATTCAACTTCATTAAAAAATAACTAATCATTGATAATCATATTAAGTGCTTCCCCTCTCCACACCCCAGGGAAGAATTCTTTCCCTCAAAATGACAGCTGTTCAGTTCCTAATGTTATTCCCCAAAGAAAGAGTCGGTATCTATGCTAGAGAATGACATGTTAAACTATCAGTCTAAGTTTGTAGTACTATAAATTGTACCTGTAAATTCACTGTTGTAGTAGACAAATGAGACTCCTTGAGACTGAATTTTCTTCCATTCTATTCTTAAGTTCACACTTCTGGAAAACTTGTGCTTACAACTAAGAATAGCCTCTAGAGGGGCAAAAAAAAGAAATAAAGAAAATAATGCAAAGAGGACTTTAGCACTGTGTCTTGTACATGTTCACACTCCATGAAGTTAATATTCTCTCTTCAAAAGAATTTGAGCAGTCAGTAGGGGCCATATCTACTTCTCAAGCTGATGGCATCAGGCCTTCTCCAGATTTACACAAACAATCTATTAATTTTTTTCATACTTTGGTAGCCTTCAGATCAAACTTCAGTTGCTGGGGACCATGTTGGATGGGCACAGATTCTGTATTGCTACCCTCATTTTAGGTTTAAATATTTTTATCAGTGAGTATATCACCATTAAAAAAGGACTCTGATCCTGTAAATGATATTTTATGAATTACCATTCTGAATTCAGCATCAGTAGTTTAACTGTTTAAATGTAAACTTAATGCAGGTGGACAAAATGCTAGTAAGATGGTTAAACGTTCTCCTAAGTAATTTGTATATTTAGTTACAATTTCACATTAGTTATTGTAAGGGTATGTGGAAGGTGAGAGTCTGCTTCATGAAGGTTTCCCAGTCAAGGACCTATTCAATGCAAAAGCAGTAACAAGTAAAAAGGGCTGCAACAAACAAAACCAGACACACAGGCATGACAGATAGGGACTAACAGAGATGATGATAAAGACCATCAGTATTTATTGGGATAAACTCAGTGTTTCAGTAGTTCCATTCTCTGCAGAAAAGCATGCTGAAATATACATTCCCCCCCCCCCTTCAGTAAATAATTCTTAAGGTATTAATACAAATTGTTGGGAGACAGCATCAGAGGAAAGAATTTATCCAGACCTCTGACTGGCTCCAAATCCATCAATACAGTACAATTTAGCATCTCCCAGAAACTTCTGTAAAAGAAACAAATACAATACTGACCTTGCCACCTCTAGGCTTCTTCCAACAAAGGCCAGAGTAACAAGGATCAAAAGCCTTTATAGTTTTGACAATGCTTGTCTAGCTTTTCTGGAGGCACTGCTCAAACATACAGTCAATCTGCATTAACTGGCACCCTCATTTCCAGTCTAAGCAAACAAGCTGAAGGGCAATTAAGAGCTACCAACTGATCTACCCACTCACCCTTTAGAATCTGACTTCCCAGGTCTGTTCTGTAGAGAAGCCCAAAGCTTCCAAGGGGCCAGACTGGTAGCCTTGGTGATTTCTCACAGGGGAAAAAATGTCTAGACAGACTTGAAAGAAAAAGTGAGGCAGGAGGGCATTCTGTGCCAGAAACATGTTACATACACTGGCCACTCCGAAAAACATGCTGTGCACTCAGGAAGCCTGAGGTTCCTGACTTTAGGTTGAGTGGATGGGTGGAGGCTTCCTGAATCTTAAGATTTGTTAAAGTTTCCTTTCAATTTTGTTTTTGTATCCTTTTAACAAAGAAAAGCCATCATTCAAGCTCAGCTTGCTCTTGCAACTGACCTTGTGACAGTTGGCTGGTCTCATGAGCTAGTCTGTATTAGCTGACATAAAGGCAGCTCAGCTGAAGAGTTCTCAGCTGAACAAGTCACCTCTGTCTTAAATGAGTTGCCCCTTTCTTGCATAGCACATTTTTTTGTTTCAGGAAAAGCTAGCATTGATGCTCTCCCACTAATCTTATGCAGAGAAAGCGAATGGCGTGGAAGAAAGGGAGCACACACAGGCAAGACAAAACATAATAAACCCCTCCTTATATCTCCCCTCTACTACTGCCCCCATACTAACAGAGTCAGCAAGAAGTGTTTCCAGGACAGGTCTACTTGACTTGCATTATGGTAGGTCCACAGGATGCAGTGCATTAGCACACTCTGCCAGACCTGGAAAAGCCATCTAGGATCTTGGACTGGTCTGGGCAATGTTTAACTTGGATTTACATCTAGTCTGAAGGCTGTCGTTTGGTTATAGAATCATAGGATATTTCAGGGTGGATGGGACCCACAGGGATCACTGAGTCCAACTCTGTGCTCCTTGCAAGAATACTTAAAACTAAACTATATGGCTAACAGTGTCATCCAGATGCTCCTTGAACCCTGACAGGTTTAGTGCTGTGACCACTTGCCTGGGGAGCCTGTTCCAGTGACCAACCACCCTCCTCTACAAGAACAGGAGTTAGAGAAGAAAAATGCATTTCAGATCAGTTGTATCAAATACCTCTGTCTATCAGCCCCCACCATTCCCTTAGTGCTGCTACACAAAAAACCTGGCATGGCACCTGACCTATGTTAAACTGATCTCACTCTAACATAAAAAGAGTGAAAGAACAAAATGCACGCTATACATCATACAAAAAGAGCCTAATCAAGCTTTAATATTACCTGAAGAGCTTCTCTCTCTTACGTGTCCTGAGCTCCAAATATATTAAGTTTTACTCCCCAAAGGTGACAAGAATACCTGACAGAAGCCCAGCTGACAGCTTTAGATACCTCCAAAATACTTGATCATTACCACAGAACAGATGAATGAAACCTAAAGCTCAGCAAACACTTCTTTCAAGTCTCAAATCCCCATCTCTCTCAATTTCAACCAAATGTAAAGAACCAAACAAACAAGAACCCCCCTCACAACCCACAGACCACACATACACACTTAGGATCCCTTTCTCACCTACCCAGAAAACATCAGGTTTTCCTCCCTGCCTCCTTAACTTCTCTAGCACATTATTGGAAATAATTTTTCATATGACATACACATATATAAATATGTAAATAGCCATTATAGTTACTGAAAATTAACTGACTTACCATTTTTCTCTCTCTAGTCCCTCACTTCTCTGTCATGCAAAATAATTAATGCTTCTCCTTTCTATCAGTTCCCATCATTTTGGGTGGAATGAAACCAGGCAGAAGTTAGAGTGGTTGATAAAGGACTGATAAACAAGTCATGGAATCATAGAATAGGTAAGTTTGAAAAGGACCTCTAGGGAGCATCTAGCCCAACCCCACATCAAGTAGGAGAAAATGGGGACAAGACCAAGTCAATGCACAGTCAATGCAGATTGTAAGAGCTGGACCACCCAGGAAAAAGATAGACAATCTTAATAGCTGCACAGCTTCTGTATATATAGTTTGCATGTAGTGTATTTGTACTAAAAATATTCACAGCAATGCCCATACTGTACCCTTGAACTCCTCTGCTTTTACGTTTTTGTTATCCGTTTCAATGGAAATTCCAGACACTTTACGATCTGTAAAAAGACACAGTTCAGCAATAAGTACTTGTAATTTCATATGTGCATCAGCAGCTACAAACAGTAATTTCAAGACCTCCTTACACTGGGCAAATTAGATATTGTCTGCTAAAGAAAGCACAGGACTGAGAGCTAGACCAGGGCTAGGCTTGTGGGTGGCCTTGAACAATTCATCTTTTCTTCTCCATGCCTTGGCACCTGCAAACAATGGTAATATTTCTCTCTTACAATAGCATGATAACATTTACATGTGAGAAGCTCTATATAAACAGTAGGCATTGATTTATACTGGAGTAATGTCTCAAGTCTGTTTCTAATGGGGGAGACCTGCATTAATCCATAAGTGCATTTTCCATTGTATCCCTGTTGGCAGGTGTTTACTGAAGAATACCATATACAACTCCTACAGCATAAAATGGGCGCAGTAATTGGCAGTTACCTCATTCTTGTTCAAGTGAGATGGAAAACATTAATCAGTATTTCTACAGTTTTATATCAAAAAACAATCCAAGACAAAAATTCTGTACATTTTTGGATCTCTCTTGTATCAAGAACACCAAAACTCCAGAGAACATGTGAAATAGCCACTAGCCCTACATCAATCCCCACTCAGCTACCTACTCCCTGACTGGACCTCACTATACACCCTCTCTTAAGAGCTGCTCTCCTTCCAGGAAAGGGCTCCCTTCATTCCCTCATGATTCAGAAGCATTCCTGCAAAGCCCAAGAATCAGTCAGTTATTCCAATTACTCCATGACAGGCTACAAGTCTACCAAGTGCTTAAGAACAACTAAATACAGTTCCTAACACAGATTTACATTAACTCCCCCCCCCCCCCCCCCCCCCCAGCACCTTTCTGAGGTGAACAGCTTTTCATCCAACAGTACCCCCAATTCCTTCTCAGCAAGGCTGATCTCAATCCCTTCATCCCCCATCAGGTACTGATAACGGGGGTTGTCCTGATACAGCTGCAGGATCTTGAAATTGGCCTTTTGAACCTCATGAAGTTCTCATAGGCCCACTTCTCAAACTTGTCCAGGTCCCTCTGGATGGCATCCTGTCCCCCAGGCAAGTCAACTGCACCACTCAGCTTGGTGTCATCTGCAAACTTGCTGAGGCTACACTCGATCTCGCTGTCCCTGTCATTTGTGAAGATACTAAACAGTACTGATCTTGCACACCATCATGGTTTTCTTCTCAATTAAGATCATTCCTTATTGTTCAAATCTGCACTACAGAGGGAATTCTTCATCCAAGAAAAACCAAAACGAAACCAACCACAGACTGTAGTTCTATCAGTATCTATGGCCGTTGCCTCTGAATCATGGAGAAAGAATCAGAACAGGTATTTGAGTACCTGGCACTGTAGCAAAAGTTCAGTGACTCATTCACTGTATCTGGTGTGGTGGGTTGACCTTGGCCAGCTGCTTCACACCCACCCAGCCACTTCCTCACTCCCCCTCCTCAGGGGAGAAAAAACTGAGAAGTTCGTGGTTCAGAAGAAGACAGGAGATGGCTTAGAAGTTACCACCAACCCCAAACTGGACTCAGCTCAGAGAAAACAAATTAGTTCTGTTTCCAGTTAAAACCAGCAGGGGCTGTGTAGTCAGTCCGTAACAGTTCCTCTGATGCTCCTTCCTCTGCAGTTTTCCCCTTCTCTCCATGGGCTGCAGTTACTGTCAGGAGCCTGCCCCAAGATGGATCCCCCATGCACTTCAGGTTCCTTCAAACCCTATCCACTTGCTCCAGCATGGGACCCTCTATTGGATGCACTGTGCGTATCTGCTCCAGCACAGTCCTCCACAGGCTGCAGAGCAATACCTGCTCCACCATAGTTTCTCCACGGGCTGAAGATGATCCTCCTTCTCTCCCCTTGGTGCTCTCAGGGCTGTTTCTGACACTTTTCCCCTCACACCCAGGCAGGGTTTTCCCCTTCCTTCCCCAGGTGCTGCCATCATGGCTGCAGGACTCAGCCGTGTCCTGCGGTGTGTCCATTGGATCTAGCTGCTCCTCACAGAGGCCTCTGCAGCCCCGTGACAGCCCCTGGGCACCTACACCCCATATTCCTGTATTAATCTTCAGAGTTGCAACTTGCTAAGTATCTCACCATCCCCTTCCAAATATATGTCCAACATCTCTTGTTTCTGAGAGAATACAGCTTCACACCTGGCAATGTAAAGTGAATTCTCCTATGTGCACATTATCAAAAGATCAAAATTAGTGTGCAACTCTCCTGTCCTTCATATGTTTTAATATTATCATCACCTTTGTGATACCTCAAAATAGTTACAACGTAAGTTTGATATGAAAATAAATAGGAAGTGAAGAAGACAGTTCCAGCAATGCCATTTATATAGCCTTAGAATACTGAAACAGAAAAAAAATATTTGTATTACAAATAGTGCTTGGAAATTTTTTCCACCCCATCAAGAAAGGAAACTTTCCTGTTGGACTTTAGAAATAGAAATAAAGAAAATACACAAAATGACCCCAAACACACACCCTATTGAAACCAGAGGATGGGGAGCCACTTCTCCAGCATCTCCCAAAGTAACCATTAGTCCTGCATGTCCACTCAGAGCCCATCTCCTTGGTTTTGTCTAGAATAAAGCCTGAAGTCATTAAGTCATTTTGCTTTTTACCTATTAAACCCTTTTCAGATTTATGAAAAAAAAAACAAAAAAAAACTAGCTTTTGACTTTTACCAAACCATGTTTTTTCTAGAATAACACCACCACATATCCTATATGGCAGCAGATAACAAATCACGTTTACTAATTGAAAGAACATCTTCTTTCATGTCTTCATGAAGAGGAGAAGCCTTTTGTTCTGAGGCTCTGTGAGCAGCTAATAGGTAAGAGCATTTCTAGGCCTCCAGCGTGTGCGTAAAGTAATTTATGAATTACTTTTCATCAACCTTTGCTGGCTGAGCACAAACATCTCAAACACATGCAGTTCACCACTGTATTACATTTACCTTTTCATGGGCCTGGAAACTTTTCTCCTCCTCTAATACACATGTCACACTGCTCACTGTCATGGTTTAAGGATTCATGAGCTAGAAGCCACATAAAATATGTTTTATGAATTCTGGGGCAGGACCATGGTATTTGCTTCTCTCTATGGAAGTTATCACAACATTACCCTGTGTACTTTGTACTGGGAGCTTGCAATTGCACAAAGTCTCCATATTTCCCCCTGCATCAAGGGATTTATAGAATATATGAATATACTATGCAACACAGTAAGTGCAAAATAGTTCAACATTCACACAGCCCTCCTTCCCACACACACAAACCACAGATATACATGACCCTTTTCAAGAAGCAGTAGAGTCCAGAACAGTAACTTAAGGTGGCGCAGATAGCTGACCAAATTAAAACCATTGTATGTTCTGATCAAGCAGAAAGATGGAAGAGCTCCTTTAAGCTACAGCATCTCTTCCTTAAAATGTTATTTTGAGAAATGTCTCTGCCAACTACTCTGAATCCAAGATTTAAACTTTGGGTTTCAGTTCACCATATAAAGAGCAAGAGTGAAACGATGACATATTACTGTACCAATGAACTTTTTTTTTAATAATATACTTTTATACAGACCAAAAGAAACCCCTATGATGTGTCAGCAACCTTATTTGTTCAGAAGCAAACCCCAGAAATACACACTTTCCATTTGATAATCACTCACACAGCTGTAAAATGATACTACTAGCTGGAGGAATCATTAAGGAAAAGCGTATTAGTCAAACCAAATCAAAGGAAATAGTTTGCCTGGAGGAAATTACATGAGAACAGAATCAAAACAAAGTTATAAGTACAAGAGAAGAAGCCAGCTTGCAGTATTTGTTTTGCCAAGTTCTAAATAGCAGGTGGCCTATAGCAAAGCTTAACAAAGGATTTCAGAGGATACTGTAGATTTAGGAAGTTGGATGTCCCAAGAATAAAGCAATAATGAAGCCAGTTCTCTTTCTGAAATGCTTGAAAGGAAATAGGAAAGCAGACATCTGTTTGGTGTTAGCATCTTTCAGACATGTGACCACCTCAGGATAAGCCATCAGCAACATGCCTAGATGCTGATGCAGGCTTCTCAGCTATGTAACTACTATCCTGAGGTACTCAAACAGCAGAGTTTTCTCACAATCACACAACTCAGATTTTTTCTTGGTAGTCTAAGATGCAGTTGCTCCAACTGAAAGGCTACCAACCACACTCCTGGTGGTGTTGGCAGGCTAGACTATGATAACTCAGACACTTAGACAGTCAGGGCTCAGACCCACCACTCTTCACACCGATGCTGCTGTCAGCAGTCAGTGTCTAAGCAAACTTCATCTTCCACCAGTTCTGCCTGGTGAATGCTAACATCCAGCAAACACACTGGAGAGAGATCAGGAGTATTCACAGCCTCTGCAGGGTTTTCCTGTGTTGGCCAGAGTCCTTAAGCAATCTCTGAAACTGGTGATTTAAACACCAAATGTAGCCTAAAACAGCTGGAGTAAATCCAGCTTCATTCAGTAAACAACATGAATATGTTATTAAGACTACAAATTTTGGACAAGGGCTAGAAGAAGTTATCCCACATGGGGGGGGGGGGGGCAAAAAGTTAAGAAGCTCAACTTCAGTCTTTCAGTTATCTTGGGCTACTTAATTTCTTGAATCTTAAACAATATTTATAGAACAGGATTTACTTGGGAGAGAGTTTATCCAATTCACAAAAACCCCCAGCCCTGTATATCTTCACCCACAGAAAACAAAGGAGTAAACTGAAGGGGGGGTCTGCAGGCTGGGAATAAGCATCCCATCTAAGGCCAGATGTGGAGAACAAGTTTGTATTTTAATCAGCATGGTGTGATCACATAAAGGACAGTAACTTGAGAGAAGGCACATTTTCTGGCTGAGCAGCTAAAGGGATCTAAAACAAAAAAAGGAACTTAAAGAGCTTCTTAGCCACCCCTTCACTTAGGTGGTAGCTGTCAGCAGTGCTTCTCTTGTGCTTTGCA